GAATGATGAATGATGATGATTGATGATGAATGATGAATGATAATGACGATGATGAATGATGATAATAATAATGATAGCAGTCGCTGCCCGAAACGATAATTCTTATCCCATGTATGTCTGTGTTTATATTCATATGCACATACAAACGCATATACACACAGACACACACATACGTAGATAGATATACATACTCAAAGATAGAGATACAGGACATATCAGTTCTAGGTTGCGCCCCTCTCGATTTAGTTTCATGGTGATGAGGACTTAAAAGGTAGGCTTGTCAACTCACCGTGGAAAGTGTCTGATGGTGTCGGACCGGCATGACGTGACATTATCGCAGCTGCATCACCGTACGCTTTGTGTGTATGGCTTTCGATAAGATACCAAGTCGTGGCATGTCGTCGATGTCACTATTTCAGTTGCGCTTCTTCTACGTGAGAATATTTCGACGGAGCAACGGAGCTCTACTCTGGAAATGTTGAGGACAAGAGTGATAAGTAATAAGTAAGGAAACTGTGTGTCACCTGTATCTATCTTCGCTTCGAAATCCATTTTCCAATTTTTTTCCTATGCTCTTTTCTTTCATGTATTTTTCTGAAGCTCAATTATGAAGAATATGTGCTCGAAGATGTTTTCGTTACTTCCTTAAAGTTCTCCAAGTGTCAATTCGTAATTAAACTCTTTCGTATCTCAATTATTGCTACAATTTACTACGAACAACGATCGTTCAGTTATGTTTTTGTATCTTTGGAGTGAAGCAATTCACAAAATATTCGAGCAGATTCCTTTCGCCTTTGTCATGACAAAAAAGTCTTCTCTTTTATGTTTGGTTTAAAGATTAAGCTAATCTAATTTAATTGGAATTATTAAATTACAATTTATTGTCACTTATAATTTGATGAATTGAGATAATCTAAGATAAAGCGTCCAAGTGTAATACCAGACAGACGCCTCGTTTCGCAAACACCTTATACGAGCTCCATTGGTTCCAAATTGTTTTTAGAGAATTTTTTTTTTGCTTTCTTAAGAAAAGAAGAAAGGTTTGCTTCGAAGTTTCGTAAATCATTCAATATTAAATCCAAGTTTCAAGTATTTCATATTGTTATTAAAATTGTTCAGTCCGATGTTTAAGAGTTTGTTGCAACACAAAGATAGATGAGATGAAATTTACGATATTTTCATCTATATTTTAACTTTTTGTGCCAGTTTTAATTCATAATAATCTGATTATATGTACTTTCCACTATTTACAATCTATTTTAAACGTTTCAGCATGACGAAAAACTTATCAGAGTTAAGCAATTGTTAACCATTGTCAGAATAATCAAAGAATTAAACATTTTCTTTCGCAAAGATTAACAACCAAAAAGTAAAACACTAAAGTCTTACTTGCTTCCAGCAATTAATTCCAGAAAAAGTTTGAAACAAACGTGTTGAAATGAACACATATAACTTTATAAGCCATCTCTTACAGCTGGAATTTACAAATTTCGAATCAAATCGACTTATAATGTGTAGAATTGTAGATTATAACAGCATAGTCCTACAATACACAATCTTAACGTAATCTCCGGTGTGACAACTTAGCAAGTGTGAGATTCTAATGGAATCACATATTATATTTCTTGAAAATTCATCTATTGCGCTTGATGATTTCGAATTTTTCGAAAAATCTTAAATGCAAAAGCTGGAGAATTCAGTATTAATGGTTAAGTTTGAAATTATCAAAGTAAGCTTCAGTTAGATCTAGACTTTTAATTGCTGTTCATTCATTATTCTCGTTCATTGATGTCATTTAATTTCGCTTATTCTGTTGATCAGTTAATTTTTCCCTCATCACTTCATGCAATAAAAAAAAAAAAAAAATAAGATTAGCATTTCTGTCCAGATTTCAATCTAGATCTAGCTGAACAGTGAATCAGAAAGAAACAGAATGAAAAACTATTTCGCTTATAAGAAACGGTAGTTAGGACAATTAAATTTCCAGAAGTGGGCTGAAAGCATAACAAGTTATGTCATCGTTCGAATGCTGGCAAAAAGTATCAGTATATGCAATATAGGAAAAATCATCTTCCGAACAGATTACATTGAACTTCTTGAATAGTTTCTTTTCAGCCTCCCGTTGAATAGCACGTTTAGCAATAGTTGCGTCATCGGCCATATTCTAAAATCTTTAAAAATTAGTACCAATTAAAAAATTAAGAACAATAGGGAAGGAAAGTTGTCTCACTGATTTTAGTTCTGAGAAGAGTTTTAAACTTCCGATTAATGGTTTGCAGGCGTCAAATTTTGCCAAGTAATTAGGCGAAATAGGAAGTGTATGTTTGTGTATAAATTTTCTTTTTAGAGAGAGAGAAAGAAAGAGAGGAAGAAAGGGAGATTTGATTAATTTCTTTTAACAATCAATTAGAGCGAAGTTCTCGAAGTTGATAATAATAATACAAGTATACTAACCAAAAAAAAGAAAAACTTTTACTAACAACAATGAAATAACTCATAGTACAGGAAGTATAAAACTGCTGAACGGTACAAAACAAATCCAAGACAAATCCAACAAAGCAAGAAATATATTTTGCAGTAAGAAGAATATTCCCAATACAGAGGCTTTACTAAATCAATCACAGAACAGAACATAAATAGAAGTAATCGAGCTAATTTTATGCAAGCTACTAAAGATCTGTTAGAATTACGACTAAATTCCAATATATCCCAAATTTAAAATCCATAAAATGAATTTTTCGGAAGTGAACAAATGAACCTGAACTAATAAACTTCAACAAATTGTTGTTGATCAGGGCAACATTGACCACCACCTACTGCTTCATAAATCATTTCGATTAATTTTATAACAGTATTTTATTAATTTTTTAAAACTTGAAGTGTGAGTGTTTGCGTACCTCTTCCATAATTGACTGCAAGACAGGATTATTGCATTTGGAGTCGTGTTCCAAATCAACAGCAAGTGAAGCTGAAAATATCTTGGCACCGTGTATCCTCATTTGAGAATTCACGCAAGGAGTGATGCATGTGCAACAGCAATCGTTAATCACCGGTACCGCATATGTCGGTATCATCTTTGGAGCCTTTAATATAAAAATGAGAAGTGTTTTCTTTTGGTTTTGATAGTTTTTAAAAAATATAAATCCAAAATTGAGCATATTTTACTCGATTAATTTATGCAGAGTTTCATTAAGATGGACTTACCGGGACGGGACAAATAGGTACTAGAGATGGCGATGGACACGGTGGAGGTGGTGGAGGTGGTGGAGGGGGCAGTGATGGTGGTGGACAAATTATTGGTCGTGGACATATAATAGGTGGTGGACAGATTGGCGGCGGGGGACAAGGAGGAGGTGGAGGTGGACAAATTACTGGAGGAGGAGGTGGTGGACATATTGTTGGTGGAGGACAGGGAGGAGGTAAGGGTGGACAGATTACCGGAGGAGGAAGTGGTGGACATACTGGCAGTGGAGGACAAGGAGGAAGTGGAGGTGGACAGGTTGGCGGAGGAAGAGGTGGTGGACATGGGATTGGTATGCATGGCTTGCACCTATGTGCCATGCAAGGTATCGCAATGGGACAACAACCGAATGTATCACAAGTATCCCAAAGTTGTATGAATATGATTATGAGCATAAGTAATTCCATGATCTAAAACCAAGTTGAAACTGAAATTGAAATTAAAGTGACTGGTAAAGCTTAAAGGAAAACTGCTTATTTCTAATATTTTCCTAGGATTTTTTACCTTGAACTACCAATTTGACGCTTCTTTTTTTGGTTTATACATAGATCGATAATAAATGTTATAATTTATTAAAAAAGATCAAGTCGTTTTATGATTAACGTCAGTGCTATTTACAGTTGATTACATCTAATGCAGTATTACAATTTTGAAAGTGATTTGAAAACTTAAATCTCTTGGAGATTTAAGAAACCGCTATTTGAATTTCTAACTCAGCCTAAACTGGATTAATATCCTTTCCCAGTTTAAGAAAGAGAATATTGCAAAAAATGGCAACTTTTTACAATACCTTCTGTAAGCTAAACATAACATGATTTTCAAAGTAGATTTTTGGACATTAAATAGATCAAAACTTAGTACCTATGGTACCAAGCCGCGGATTGTCTTCTATGGTAGCAAGTGTATAGAAAGACTGCGGTGCATATATAAATTGAAGTAATTTTTTGTCATACCGTAATCATTGTCGCCCAATGTAGCAGTAGTAATAATGATAATATACAAACGAATAGTTGTTAGGTAATTTGAGAGGCAACTGTACTTCACTGTTATATATATTGGAAACGTTATAGTTGATGCATTTCAAAAAAAAAAAGAATTGCAGCGATTATCAGCACAACGAGCAATTATGATGTTGGGACTAATTCTGGCGCTTAGTTACAAGATAGGAGTATGAGTGAAGTGACGGAGAAGGTCTTTAAGAAGTGATGCAGATCATACCATAACTTCTACTTTTTCCCTTTTCTGCTTTTTTGATGCTTTCAATTGATGAATCAGCGATGAAGTGTGCCCTACGGCAATTCCGGATTCAAGAATTCCTTTAATGCAAGTTGCATGATCATTAATTTTTTGATGACGTCAATGATAATAGGTGTTGTACAATGATGGTGATGATGATTATGATGATGACAGTACTGAGAGGATGACGATGACAATGATAAATTTGGAAAACATTCAAAAAATAAGTCAAGTTTTTTTTCTGTTCACAACACTCCTGCCGTTGTCAGCTTACCTTCTATTTGGAATAAAAACCGGATTTCGTTTTTCGCTTTAATTGAGAAAAAAAAATCGAAAGCAAATAGAAGTCAACTACAAGATTTTCAGATACATTAAATGACGATAATTTTGCAATCTTTCTTCGCACATTATTTAAAAAACAAATCGTCCATGAATAGCAAAGGGAATGGAATAAGAAGTTAAATAAAAGTAAATATTAGATGAGCAAGCAAAGGTCCTCAGTGTCACTCTCAATGCTACTTTAAAATATCACCCGGAGGCAATTAAACATGATCACTCTAAGATTCTGAACCATTCTTTTCCGATTATTGACAAAAAGGACCAGTGGAATACTATTTAGAAGATAACTCGTAAATGACTGCAAAGTTTTTAAATAATACGCCCACTGTTTGCATCATCAACGAGTTTTCCAATTTCATCGCAGTTTTTGCGTAACAATTTCAATTACTAAATACAATATTTCAATTTTCCTGACAATGACTTTTTATTTATCAAATTCAAATTCTTTGTTTTGTACTTTAAACATGTGAGGTTTGATTCGCTTTCTTTGTGCAATTACATTTTAATTATTGCATTCACTGATAAAAGATTGAAGTTTGCGAAAAATTCGAAGTATTTAAAACATATTTGATGTGATAAAGCGATGAAAAAACATCTGACGCCAAAAATTCAAATGTGTTTCAACGAAGGCATACTGTGGGTTACTGTCTATAACAACAGTATCCTGAACCCTCGTAAAAAATGAAGACATTATAATTGATCGCGTCCTAACACTACAGTTGGGTTACGGTACTTTGTTCTTTCTGCTATTTTTCGGAATACGGTGAGCGTTACCAATGTAAGGTGCTTATTTATTTCTAGGCGTATGTGAGGGAGCGTCGAATGTTGCACGCGTAAGATTTATGGGATTTTAGAATTTATTGCGCATAATTTCAGAGTTACACGGGAAGAAGAATTATCCGGGAAGATATTCTCAGATGTTTCTAACTGCAATTCAGAAATGTTCCAATACACTTGCATGCACTTCTGCACTCACTGCAGGAGTTGCATCATACCCGGGCTTACAATTGCAGTCAGATTCACCAGCATTTGACCAGTGCTGTTCCACTGATGTTTGTCTAAAAACAAAGGTTTGGCGTAAAACTTATTTCATAAACATTTTTGAGGACTGCAAAAATTAAAACATACCGTTTCTGACTTATTAATAGCATAGCTGTTCAGATTTCCTTTTTAGCCACTGGTATTGTAATACACCTTTTGCGTTTCTTTAGTTGGCCATTGAGGGATAATACAGTCGTCTAGATTCATCCAGTTATGATAATCATTTTCACTGCAACATTTGACATGATTTAACATTTCATTTTTTCTTTTTGAGTCTGCAAAATTCTCAGAGTTAAAATGCATTATAATCCTCGACTTTATGAATTTGGCTTCTAACTGATGTGTTTGACGACTCCTAGTAATTGTTATGGAGAATCAAGTTATATTTTTTCCAGTATTGCCAGCCCTCATTCAACGAAAGTTCTCATAGTCTACAGAATGGAAAAATAAAGTCACCGAGTGCAAAAGATTTACCGAAATGCCTCGGAAATGAAAAGTCTCAAATTCTGAAAGAAAATTTGGAGCATGAAAATTCTGAAAAGCAGAATTTAGCACAATTCGATTCACGAAAAGAGTTTTATCTACGGGAAAACGAAGTCAAAATGGCAAGAAATACAGGTATTGGTATTGGTGACGAAAGGATGGAAAGTAAGCTTATAGAGTTTTGCATGACTGTTACACAAGTGCAAACAAAATGTTTGTCGATTTAAATCCGATGGCGTTGTTACTATTTCCAGTCTTATTTTATTGCGTCAACAATTGAAAGACAACAAATCGGATAAGCAAAATTAATAGACAAATTGATAGAGTGTTCTTTTATAACGAAAAATTCAGAATTAATAAAAAGTATATCCCAAAATGTAAGATGTTAAAGAATTCTAATCTGCAACTAACTAAACAGTGAAGAGTTGTTGCAGTCAGTAAATTTCGGAAATAAAAATAAACTTGTTTTTGTTTCGCTGTGCTGGAGATTTCAAAAGAAAGGGTTCTTTAGCTACTCTGTGATTAATTTCCATCAGCGATAAAATTTGTCTTATTAGCATATCTGATGAATGCATTGCTTTCGAAATCTGCGGATGGTAGTACACTCAATGGTATGAACATCGCTATGTTTGATTTACACTCAAGGCGTTTTGCTGAACGATTACTCCATGCTGGTGTTTCTAGTCTTTCCATTGTTGAAGTATCACAGTATGAAGCTCAGAAAGCGAAGGTTCGTTTGCTTTCATAGTTTTGGAGACTTCTGTTCTTATTAAGACCCGAGCGCAATAATATTCATTATGCGCGGGTTTCTCCCATTCAGGCTAATATTTTCTATTTTATTTCCGTCAGGGATAAAGCTGTTGGAAGAAACTTGTTTTGATTGTGATAATTTGCGAAAATGATATCTGTTTGACTTAATGATTGACAAAACCCGTCGATTCATTAGAAATAACTGTATTTTTATCAGGAAAAAGTAGTACCATTCTAGATAACATATGTAAGGGAAAAAAATACCGCACAAACAACAGTTCGCATTTGAACGAAGGTGAAGAAGAGAGTTTCAAATATGTTGGACGCTATATATTTGAACCGCTTCTTACTGGACATCAAAATCTTCCCCTTGAAAAGTAGATAAAAATGCAGAATTTTCCATACTTTAAGGAAAATGCTTTTTGAGCTTGTTTTCGAAGTTGGTGGTTTATTCCTCATAAGTCTAAACGAACTGTAACATTTGTGTTGTAATGGCTTATGAGCAACTGGTAAATTGAACTACTATACACAGATGGCGTTTAATTTTTTCTCCTACTGAGATTTGAATTTTATTTGAATTTGATTTCTGAAATTTTCTTTGGGAATTGTTTACTTACTTGATGATAAGGATCCACAAGAATTCACATGTGGTTTGCATTGACTTATGCAATTTCATTACTGGACCATACTCTACTATTTCATTCATTACTGTCAAACCAGGAATAATTTCCCACTCCTGAAATGTATGTTATTTTTAAAATTTATAATGGTTTTCAGTACTTACCTTCAGTAAGCGGAAACTTATCCGATATATAGGAGAAAATTCAGGGTAAATGTTAAGCATAAAGTATTGGAATAAATATGGGCACTTGATGGTAAGATAATGTCTTTTGTTGTTATGAATCTTTTACTATTTCTAAATTTGATCTGTTCTATTTAAAAGAAATGCTGTCAGTTTCATCCTGGTATTCAACAGCGATAATCTTGCAATGTTTCACTGGATTTGCAAATATCACGATATTTTCCATGTAACGAATGAAAACTAGCAGAGAAACTGTTTCGGGTTTCTTTTTCTGTTGAATTTTTAAAAAATTCAAGGACACAGCTTTTCAAGAAGTAAGGGAACAGTGAAGCGATTTCGACAACGTTTTTGTTTGTTTCGATTTAAAATTCTTGTGTAACATCTTCGATCTAGTAGGTTTACTGCGAGGAACTAATGCTGATATTTTATTTTATAGTGACAAGTGCTTCTACAATCCTGAACGACTTTTCCAGTTTTTGACATTCTTATTACTCCGATGAGTTTGATTTCTTTATCCTTCTCCATGTTATGGTACAGTATCTCACTGGCACCGATTTATTTCTCTCGTTTTAAGGCTTTTAAAATGATTTTACTTTTAATGTCAAATGTAATTAAGCTAAAAGATGCGATTCTAAAGCCTTAATAAAGGACGTGTTTTATATTTGAAGGACTTAATTTTTAAGTTACAAACAGCTTACACTGCTGTTTTGAATAGAGATTTTTTCAAAACAGTGAATTTATATCGAAGAGTTATATCGGAGGTAAAATCAAAGACATTTTTATAATGAAGGATAGTTTCCTGTTTGCATTCCAAATCGTACTATTGGGCATTGAAAAAATATATTTTTTATCAAGAATCTTAATTGATGTATTTTGTTTAGTATTTACTGGAGGCATGTTGATAATTGTGTTCTTCTAATAACAGCCTTTGTGAATAGTTTAATTAGGTTCCCAGGACACTGTTCTGCATTAGTCTTGCGTTATTCCGGAAAAGGATTGAAACGAAAAGTCTGAATATTAGTTCTTTTTTTCTTTATATAAATTTAACTAACATTATCATTGTAAATGTTGTCGTGTGATAACATAAAGTTATTGAATTGAGATGAAATAGAATGAACACGAAAGCATAATTGATTTTGTTGCCATTTTTTCGATGAAATGCAGTATGTTTGTTAGGTAGCAGTCGCTCATCAGTTTTCATTCAAGACAGTTTCATCTTTCGACGGGTAACTTGAATTTTTACACCAAACGTTATTTACTATTCGGGAGAGCTAAGCTATATCCCAGTTCCCCTTTAATGTTGCACTTAACGGCAGCGCTACAAATGTAATACGATGTATAATACAGCATATGACAGGTACACAGACTTTAATGTTTCATTCTCTTTCCAAAAAGTATCTAATTACTTAATGGTAAAAGAACATTAAAACATGTTTGTATAGAGCGAATATGCATGTACGTAATTGTCAATATTTTTGCTGGAATTCAAAGCTATCCGAATCTTTTTGTTCTAAATGATTGTGTTGATATTTGAATTGAGTTTTACTATTATTAGATTATTACCAAGGATATTGTGAATAGGAATCCTTTGTTTTATTATTCAAGAGATTATTCATTTTCTAAAATATTTCAGGTAACATTTTGACCTTTCGTGAAGTTGAAACTGAATTTAAGTGCAGTTAAGAATCAATTCTACTGCGAGATCCATTATAGTAGGCCGTATTTCGCCGAACAATTAAAATTAAAATCCTACTTCTAAACCTTCATTTCTGTATATGTTTTACAACATGTATACGTCTGTATATATTCTACCTCATGAAAAGAGCTGTTGTTAGTCTTTTGCGGGAACTAACATGTCGAGTTGGTGAGCAATAGTAATGCTAGCAGATTATAATAGGTAATATCTCTTTATATACTATTCATATTCTGAAAGTAGGCCTTATTAAATGTGCTGGGAGGTAATGGATGCACATTAATGGAGTCGTGTGTTAAGTAAATGTGTCGTAGAGATTTCAAAAATGACAAAGTAGATGAAGTATGATGAATTGAATGTGAAAAAATAGTCAATTATGGTAACTAGCGCTCGCAGTTTGGTGGAATCTGATTAAATGTTTAGGAGGGGATTCTTTGAAATACCTGTGCATAAATGGAAAATTGGTGAGCCAGTATATGAGGAGAAAGAAGAAGGAACTGTTCAATAAACGAGATATAAAATACTAGGCTAATTTATGGAAATAACTATATCTGTTGAAGAAGATTATCCTTGTTATCTCGATTTCCTTCAGCTAATGGCAAAACTGGATTGCCGAACTCAAATGAATTATGTCAAGTTTCAGATATGACTAGATTTTGAATCCCACTTAAATATCTTCCAATCATTTTAATATCTTTGTTATAAAATTCCTTTGCTTTTCTTGAGGTTTCATTTTGAGGTCTTTTTCGGTCAGGAAATTTTGGAGAGATCAGGATTCTAATCACAAGTAAAACCTTGAAATTACGAAACTGAGATTGAATCATCAGAACGAGAAGTTCAGGATAAAACGATAACAAACAACTTTTTTTGATGATTATATTACATTATGTGCTAGCATTGCTAATAACTAAGAGCTTTTCCTGGAGGCGATTAAAGTAAGCAAGGATTGCTCAATTTCGCCATCAAAGCCTGTAGTTTATGCATCTTAATTCTCACAATTATTTAACTAAATATACTAAATATAAACATTTGTGCACCTACTTTGGCTAAAATTCTTCTTTGTATTATTTTTATTTTCTTGTAATTGTCATATGTCCCTTTCCTAGAAAATACTTTTTTTTTATTAATTTGAGGATAAGACTGTAAATTCCTTAGCTAAGAAAAACATATCGATAAATCAGTGCTTTGCAATCCGGTTAGTATCCTGAATAAATTAAAATGGATAGGGATAAAGCGACAGTTAAAGCCGTGACATATACATTTAACAATAATGCCATTTCTAAATTGTTGAAATTGATGCTAAAAAAAATGCCTGCAGTTAGTCAATTTTTTCCTTTTTAAAACCAAAATAGTCTGTGTGAGTATTGCTAAAATTAATGAGTCCATGAATTTGAAAAATGTCTGTGCAATTTAAAAAATATCTGAGCAAAAATATTCAGATAAATTTTTTATTGCAAATAGGTAAAAGGAGATTTTCAGGATTATGCAGGAAAGATGCGAAAAAAGAGCGGACTAATAGTCGGAGCATACCGAGCCAGTATGGAATCATTATTTCCACTTTGTACACGGAAGAAGCAGGCAATATTCCCTGCTAAACTGCTCTTTGCCAGTCAACAGCTCATGAGGGGTGCCGTTAATCCGTTTACGTTACTGAAAAGAAATATGGCACAGATGGGTATGCCTCATTTCTTGAGCTTTTTAATGAATGCTGCTGAGATTTCAGTTTAAGAGCTTTTCATATTGAAAGAAAAAGAGGAGACAAGATGTATCCAGGTGATTAACAGGTCTTTATTTTGATTTTGTTATTCGTCGAAAGCTGAAAACCTAAAAAACTGGCAGACTAAGGCACCGAATAGGGCAAATAGCCCCAGTGAATTGTTAATTCATTGATTTATTCAGTACTTAAGCAATGAAATATTAAAATGATCGGTAGTAAATTGGGCATACACTATTGGATTTAAAGGAACTTACAGCGGTTATGTTGGTAGTTCAATTTTTGAAAATTATTAGGAATTATGAAACGAATACAAAGCAGTAACATAATTGCTCAGTTTTCTTGTTTAGTTTTTTAATAATTGGTTAAAACAGTAATGAATGGAAATGTGGCATTCTCTGGATTTATCTAAATTAATTGATAACTTCACTTGTTATAAGGCACTTTTTTTTCATGAGATGAAACCATTTATCAACTTTATGAAATAATTCACCTTGGTGGGATTGTCGATTATGTGAACCTACTTTTTATTATTACGTAAAAGATCGACATATCAAAATTAGTAGTAATAACATATCACAGAGTTGTAGAGAACAAGTGTTCATAGAGTTATAGGGAATAAGTGTTTTCAAGTATTATGTGCTCATATTTCAATTATTCTCGGAGATCTTAATTCAAAAACCGAACAGTCCCTCTTAAAAACTGATTTTGCCTATCAGTCTTTGCACTTGCAATTAAAGGTAATAAGATAAAGAGTTAGGATTTTTCTTTCTATTTGGCATCAGTGTAACTGGGAAATTGTTAAACCGATATTACTCACTTCAATAAAAATTTGAGTAATAACGTAAGAATACCATCAGTCATTCTGTAGCTTTTAGTTCAAAGTTTTCAAATTTTTTGTTGGCTTTCCCTTTTTATTCTTTTGCCATTTTTTTCAGCATACTTCAGATTTGATTTCCTCTGAAGAAACTGGATTTACAAAATTGTCTCGAGTGTTTTTTTTAATAATCACAAAATTTTCATTGGAAAACACGATTTTTTGTTTTGAAATGCTAGACTTTTTTAGTCATTCTTCTGAATCTTGGTAGTGAAAGAAGTCTCGCATTATTTTAATGAATTTCTTACCTAGTTATTTTAAAAAGGACGAGGTATGGAGACGGAACTACATCTTATAGAAGGCTGGTTGTTACAGTATTGTAAAGTACTAATAATAAGCAAAATTAGGTTGGAATTATGTTGGGGTTGATCTTTGTTTGAATACTAACACATTTTTCAGTTTTCACTGATGTCATCAAAAAAGTTTTAAACGTGGTTACTTTTTTTGCAGTTACTAAGTTTTTTCCAAATATTATTATTAGAAAGTAATAGAGAGTACTTTAGGATTCCGTTTAATGATTCTGAGTGAGTTCAGAAACTCGATTCTATTGATATTTACTGTTTTGCACAGTTCTTTGGTATGCAACAAAACTATACTACTTTGCCTATTTTTGCTATCATTTCAGATGACGAGTCCGGTAATAAGCAAAGATTCGCGCCGATAATAATTGGTTGTTTATCTACCGCCAGTCAACAATCTAATATGCTTACTTCAATGATCTTTAATTTCATCATGCATTTGTGTGCAGTGAAAAAGGATACAATGTTTCAATATGGTGCCGTACAACTTATCACATTTCTTTCAGCTGGGTAAGTTATTTGATTGAAGCAGCTATTTTTAAAAGCAGAACGTTTCGATAAAATATGTGATGTGTAAAGAACAAATGCTAATAAGAGGTATTCCAAATTATTAGGACTTGTTTTTGAAACACTGTTTATTTTTTGTGGTGGACTTATATGTGATTCCCAGTTTTGTATATAATGTTTTTCTTGGTTTCATTTCATCATTTTTTTTTCGACATAATCTTAGTAATTATTTTCGGAGTTTATTGTGTAGCTTATAATTAACAGAGCCGCCGCATTATTCTGGACAATGTTCCTTATATTAAGTACAGAGACACCCATAAAATTGATTTCAAAACTTCTTCACTTTTGTGAACTCTTTCAATTGACTTTTTCTTCCGAAAGAAAAATTTGTAACTCTTTTTTTTTTAATTGGCTTTTTCTAGTTGATCAGAATAATCTCGCCAATAAATTTTGTTTTTATTTTGCTAATGAATTCGAGTTTTTTTTTTTTGGAGCAATTTTGTGCTGGCAACTTGCGCCGTGGACCCCAATATGCAGTTCGTATCAAATGGAAGCAAACACAAATCTTGGCTACTCAATAAATTATTTACTATTAAGCCAATATCCGGTTATTCAGGATTTCCACGCAACACCTTCAGCCCCCCATTTCCGCTCTCCAGTTCTCTCTCTTATGAGAAGAAATTTAATTCGGTAGTTATCATGTTTTTCATATTCACACTAGTGTTCAGAATATTGGAAATGTCACTGATTTGAGGTTTTTTTTTTTTGTTTGATATTTGGGTTCGTTGAAGGAGAAACCTTAATTTTTATGTCTTTATGCCTTTAGGGTTTCATAGGATCATTTATAAAGTCTATTAAATTTTCATTAAATTTCGTTGAATATCTGTAGTTTTATTAAATAGCTATCATCCGTATGGTATAGTGTTTCAAATTTTAGCTTGGTATTAGAAACGAAAATCTATACGGTGTGACAATAGAACCGAGAAGCGAAATTGATATTGATAATCTGAATACATTGATCAGTTCGAGTGAGGAAATTCTAATGAAGTACGCATTCTGGATTACTTTTACGGGCAAAATGACTGCTAAAACAAAAGTTGCTCAAAAACTCAGGTATGATACAGGGATCATTGCCGATTGAGATCAATTAGCCATAAAACTTTCCCATGTTATATGGGATTGGATTCGATTTTCCCATTAAGTAGAGTTATTTTTTTTTTACTATCAGATTTTTCCAGCATCAATTTAATCTTTGCCTAATTATGCAAACTTCAATGGTTAAAAACTATGGTGTATCGGTCGAGTTTCCTCGATACTTAGACTGTCATAATGCGTGGGATCTTTCAGGGAATGGCTTCCAAAAGCAAGCGTAGATCTAAGCTCTGTGGTTGAATCAGATGCTAAAGTTGCTGATTTGAAGCTAGAAGATTTCGATAAAATGTTTTCTTTACTGCACACGGAGTTGAACGATGATTTCACGCATATTAATGAGCTAAGGAATTTTTATGCTCATTTCAGGTCTGCAACTGAAAATGCTAAATTTGCCGATTAATAAGATAATTGCAGTGTTTACAAATGCTTGTATTGCAATGTGTGATGAAAGGCGATTTACAACGAACAGTAGTCCAATGAGTTAAGATTTGATAAATATATCCAGGAAGGTTAACAGAAATGAAAATAAACTAAGCAGAATGCTTGCCAAATTATCAACAATAGTGGATTTTGTCAGATTATGAAGTCAGATTCTAAGAAGAACAGTTGCCTTTCAGTTGGACTATACTCTGCTGTAGGTTTCTGTGCTTTACGTTTTAGCTTTTATAATTGTGTTTTCTGAACATCTCAGTAAATCACATTTCAGACCTTACCCGGGGTATTAATCCTCTTTTCATATTATCCAATGTTCTCTTCCAAAAGTTCACCACTTTTATAGCTTATTATTCTTCATCTGAATTTTCCGCCTGTTACCACATTTTCATTAATTTGCAGGAGCCGGAAAAATCATAGCATAATTGCTCGGATTTTCAGTAAGTCTTACATAAATTCACGTTGACATATGTTTTTGTACAGTTTTTGCTACTCCAGCAGTTGTACTGTAAACATAGTTTACAGTTTTAAACATAGTTTAAGAAGCGCTCGGCTGTTGTTATAAATATGATATTTGCTCTTCCTAAAGTCGCTAATATCCAATTTTCCTTATATGTCATTTGAACTTCATGCATGCCTAGATTGTTTTCGGTGTTATTTGTCTGAGAATTAAAGGAATCCACTTATCTGTTGCATCCGTGCAGAATGTAGTATATATATAAAACTATATGAAATTATGTGGATGATGGATGAATGATCAATATAAGCATTCGCATAAAAGTACAGACGTTTAGTTTCAAAATTATTTTGACGCAGATATACTGAGAAGGAAATGAAGCGCCGTTTTCTTGGGAATTGCAGCCATAAACACATTTCCTGAAAGGATGTTGAGCTGTGCCACAGTGGTGCAAATCATCGCTTTAGTTAAATTTCCTTTAATACTTTAAATTCGGGAAAGTGAACTACGCTTAATGCTTATTCATATGCACTGTTTTGATAAAATGATTTGGTTTACTCAACGATTTTATTCACTTGACGGGATTACATGTCAACTCTAAGTTTTTCAAAGGCAAAGTTACCAAAAACGATTTAGTTTTGGTGTTTCAGTTCGTGACTCCGGACAACTTTGATTTCTGATCTGTTTGAAAGCCTCATATACGAGTAGTCTAACTGCAGTCACTATTCTTAGAGGAATATCTGAAAGAAAAAGTTGTTCAGAATCCTACTGTTTTACAATCCTAAAAAATTTTTGATATCTTTATCAGATGGGGAATTTCTGATTCAGGTTGAACTATTTACGGTCTGTAACACCTTCTTGGGGGAGCTGTATTACGAGTGAAGAGTCACTCTATGTCTCTGAATTAGCCTGGCTCTTACAAAGTGTAAATGAATGTGGTGGAGTCAAGAGAAAGATGACAGAAGCTGCAGAGGAAGATAGTTTTGTGCCAAATTCAAGCATTCAATAAGTTTATTCATCGAATGCTTCTGGTGGTTAAAGGGAGCTTATGAAAGGCTTATTTCTCGATGATTTCTTCATGCATCTCTCGAAGTTACGATTTGTGAGTTCGATTCCGCCTTCATTAGTTATGACTTTCGGTTCAGTATCTATCCAACATTCTTTTCTGGATTGTCTTGTATTTGTTACGATTAGCGGAACTGACTGAAATCTGAAATTAATATCTCATGGCTAAGCCTCGTGAACGAAGGTTTGGGAGAAGCTCTATCCACGCTTGCTGTAAGCGCTACAAATATGGATATATCTTTCTAGCTTGCGCAGTGAATTTTTTAATGTGGCACAGAGTGCATGGTACTAGCCGAATCTTTACTAAGATTCGTCTGCCAGAGTCTAGTGAAGTAGGATAGTGACAGTGAAGTTCTCAGGAGGGTAATCTTCTCTGAGATGGACAGCTTTACAGGACTACTCTAGGATGGTTGGCCAGCCCACTCTGCCCGTGGACATTTTGTCTCTGACCCTTCAGTTAAGACCAGTCTGGCAGGATACATACCTTGGCGGAGGCATAAAACATTACCAGCATGGCTTGCAGCCCTCATAATGGCACGCAAGAGGGCCCGTGGAGAAATGAATTCAATAAGCACTCTGGATTGTCCACTCTTGCATGCAAAGTGAGATAGCGAGAGAGAGAAAGTGGACGAGTGGGAGAATAATAGCATTGGTTGCACTCATTTTGTTCCGTTCACTGTTAAATTTCGTTGCTTTTTGAATGATCAATTTTTTTTTCTTCTGAATTGGTTAATTGGCTAATGGTCTATAGTTGTTCGAACAGCTTTTTTTAAACAATTTGGGATGATATAATGAGATATGAATTGAAATTCGAACTTGAACTTTAATTTTTACATAAGGCTCATGTGAAAGCTCTTTTTTCTATAATTGTCGTGGTAGAAGCATTAATGGATGAATGGTGCTTGAGTTAAAAAAGTGTGGTACTTTTTCTGTGTGCAACAGTAAGTAATCTCGTTTGTCAGTCTTATTTTTTGCTGATTACTTTCTGGAAAGATAGCGTATGATGCACTGTAGGAAGAGGTACTCTCTGGTACTTTCAGGTGGTGCCGCATATCATTCCATGAGCATCAGCGCAGGTGATGGTACCCCTAATCGCTCATTAACAGCTAATCGTCACTTGCAATGGAAAAGTCAGAAGGTATTCATCGACCGGATATATCAGGTGAGTATCCCATCATCCCTTTTACATATCCCGCCATGCTTCATTATGATCAATGTAAACTGTCACTATCTGCTTCCCTGGTACCATTATGTTGTCGAAGATGACATCTTCTGCACAGCTTGTCCCCAAAAGTTTTGTACTTTGGAAGCTTTTATTATGCCCAAGTGAAATGGAGGAGTTAGTGAGGCGATGTCTTCCTCTCATCCCCTCAGATCATTCATTGCACAGCAGCTACTGTTAGTATTCATTATGGCGCTTTCAGATTTTCAAATAGTTTTTAAATGCTGTTTAATTGTGGTTCTATCATTGCTGTATGCATTTGCAGATATCCAACAATTGTCATCCCGGCATCGGATTGGATCAAGCAGCTGCTGAACATATCCAAGAAATATTGATATGTTTATTTTTGAATTATTGGAATGTCATCCGCAAACAATCGAAGATATGGAACGAAGTATGCGTAGTACTTTGCCAGCAAGCATGTTCCACTGGATTACTCAGGTTATTTCTTCCTCTAAAATCATCATTATTCATTTCGTGCTATCGCTGTAAAAGGTTTCTGTACCGGTAGAATGATTGTGCAAACTTCTGGTTTCAGTGTCAAAATACTGCTGAAGCATTACACAGGATCCCACGAAAAAAACTTCATGATAAACGAAACGCAAATTCGAAAAGCTTGATGTCACTTCTGCATACGCTGCAACCAAAACTAAAGGTGTCATCCGATATTTTTTTTTTCTGCTTTAAAATCGGTAAATTACTTTGTTGCAACATTTTAAAAATAAAATTTTTAAGCTATTGGTGGGGAGCATTTGCAGCTATGATTTCAATGAAAGCAGTCGTTCCAGGAATTGCTGGGTTACAAACTAGATGAGGAAGTGATGCTATACTTGCTTTCTGTCATTGAATACATTGCTGCAGATATACTAAAGGTATTTTGGAGGCACCTTTACTTTTATTCTTCATCCTTCTGTCCTGTTTTCTAGATGTAATAATTCCTCATTTCAGTGGACTGGAAATTATGTGAAAAACATAAGAAAATGTGATCCTACTATTGGTTTGCAGAATTTGAAAATTGCACTCAGCGCTGATACAGTGAGTAAAATAATTCTCTATGATTCATGTGTAATTTTTCTCACTTTTGCTGGTAAATTTGGGGTTTCAAGTAATTAATTGCAAGTGACAAGGCTGCTCATCTTATAACTCTTTTGCCTTCTTTACAGCTTATTTTTGATATTTAATTATCTGAATTTGCTTCATAGTCTTTCATTACGTTTAGTAATTTTTTTTGCAATCACAATGCTGACTTATTTGTAGAGCTTGATGGAGCTTACAGAAATGTTGTATAATGATGAGGAGACATCCACAGCCGGAATATTAAATGATAATGTTGAGGATATCGTGCAAGAAATGTCATATGAAGAGGTGCTTTTCGAGTTATTTTGAAGTCATCACGCATATTATATATATATATATATATATATATATATGTCATTGCTGTTATCTGTAGATTGCAATTCTATCACTGCTTTTTTACCCTTTCATTTGTTGTACGTACATTTATTATATCTATTACATTATCTAATCAGAAGAGATATAAATCCAGGCATCACGCGATTTCAATCGTGACGAAGCTCAATATCTTCGTGATCTTAATCTTATCATTCATGTCTTCCGACGTCGTTTTGAGACCGTTTTTGAGGATTCTGATGAGGTAATTTCTAATAAGCTTAATATGTTTATGATTTTGTTTTTTTTACGGAATGTTCTGGTTTTCCAACGATTCCAGCTATCATGTAAAATATGTTTTCAGCACTATCTTGATGAAATGTTCGGTAACATTTTGGAATTGCACGAGTTAACAGTAAAGGTCCAACGAATGTTGGAAGATGCAATTGAAATGTCTGATACTCCATGTGTAGGAGCCGGATTATGGGAACTTGCAGAAGCTCACGAATTTGATGTTTACATTGCTTATATGGTATTATTTCTTATGGGATAAAGAAGTCCAACAAAATATGGTCCGAAGTTTCTTTGTTATTTTGAATGATGAAAGCTTGACAACACAGGATCTGTCTCGTTATTATATGATTTATTTTAAGGATTTGTTCAAGAGATCGTTAACAACTGTTGTAGAAAAAGTGTTGAACGATGCTAAATATGAGCAGTTTTTCATGGTAAACATGGTGTTTTTATGATTGCTTAGAATTATCATTTCTACATTATGCTTAAATTTGATATTTTACACAAAATATGATTTGTTGTTTAACACGAAGATGAGGAATTAATGAATCTCTTTTGGAAAGATTTTTTCGAGGCATTCGTTTTTTCCAGCTGGAGGATCGAGCACATAGTATCACTCCTGGGGGCGAAACATTTCGACTTGCTGTTAAATATGTCCTTCCTTCTCTTCTCGAGATTCCTGTTATTCATTTCTTTCGTTACGTTGAATTTACAAATGTTAGTTTTTTCCAGTCTGACTTTCTAAATTTGATAAATTACGTTCATCTTAACTATGTTCTCCGTCATTAATTGGTGCTCAGTCGTCATTTTTAAAGAAATACTTTTTAAATTTTTTCTGTTATCACTACAGTATTCTTTTTTTAGATTTTATGTCATTTGGCACGACCACCTGATGAAGTCGAAGATTTAAAAAGCGCGAAAAGTTATTTTAGTGGTCTTGCCGTGAAAGTGGAGTCACTATGTCCTTTGTTTCTGATTAATCATCTAAAAACGTCAGCTTCTACTTTTGTTACATAAAACTGTATCAAGATTTGCTTGGTCGTTGCTTTGCTCCTATGTCTCGTCCATTATCCTTTATATTTTGTAGAGAACAAAGCATTCGAGCTCTGCCGGAATCAAATTGTTCACGTCAAAGACGAAGGATTCAAGAAATTCAGCGAAGCATTGAACTATGGGAAGGCAAGGAAATTGGTTACAAATGTGCGGAAGTTATCAGAGGTTATATTTCTGTGTAATTTTCATAACGAAAGAATTATTCGCTGCTATGAGGAAGTCAAGTAGTAATGCCGATTTATGAATTAAAGTTCATCCAAATGAAATAATAGGAAAGAATGCCCTTTCAATAAGAAATATGGAATAATTTAGTTCTTTGTTCTTTTTTTTTCTACATCCGTTATTTTGAATATAATATTATTCACTAGTCTTGCAGAAGGTGATTTGTTGCTGTTGCGATCTGGACCAGTATCTTCTGCTGGTAAGTCTTTTATTTGCTTGTAAACTTATTAAACCATTAACTGCTTTACACCAGTCGATTAAATTCCTCAGAGGAAATAACTAGTAATGCTGCTGTGATTATTAATGTTTCCCCTTGAACTTTAGCCACTGTCATGTTTTTGCTGTTCCTCATTTTCAAATTCTTACAGATACGCTAAAAAAGAACAGAGGAACAACTGTGCGTCATGCATTCCTCTTCGACCATCTTTTAGTGCTTTGTAAAACATTGCGCTCTTCGAGACCCGAAAAGCCACTTTATAAGTTCAAGGATAAAATGCTTATACGTAAAACAGATATATTCGATCTAACGGACACTGAAGGTCCTGTGATCTTACTGGTTTATCCTGATATTGAAATGATTTTTAATTTTGTTCCAATGTGGTGTTTTGAAAGCAAGGTACTTAACTGAAATATAATTAGCTGAGAAAGATCTCCACTGTAATTAATTTTGTCTTTACTGAATGTTCAGTAACTTATTACAGAACTTCAAAATGCTTTTAAAATCGTATCGCGATCAATAACTCATGACCGAGCAGACAACACTTCTTGGGTACTGTTTTGCCGAACACCGGAAGAGAAAACTAGTTGGATGTGCGATTTAGTTAAAATTCAAGCGAAAAGGTATGCAAGTTTTCGATTTTTAATTTCTTTGTATTCGCTCATGACGAAACTTGAAGTTTCTGATGTGTAGGATCCTTCTTTTTTCGTGCTTTTCAGTTCGTTAGATCGAATGTTAGATGCATCGTTAAAAGAAGAAGAAAAGCGAGTCCCACTAATTTTACCGACATCTGACCAGTATAGGTATAATTTTATATTTTCATTGGTATCATTGCTAACCAATATTTTGTGACATTTATCCCCATAGTAATGGATTTAGATTCTTGTTGGTTTTTTGTATATTTCTTTATTTTTTTTTCAAGTGGAAGTTGCAGGTTTGCTGATCAGGACTGCGATGAAAATATTGTGTTTGAAGATTATACTTCGAGTAGTGGTATACCAGTTGTTAAACATGGAACTGTTCTGAAACTTGTTGAACGCTTAACTTACCATTTGCAAGTTTTTGATCATTTTTAATTGCAAATTCTCGGGATTTTGGCGATAGTTGGTGATGCATTCGTGGTTGTACGGATACCTCCAACAACTTTTTTTGGTCTTCCCCTTTAAATTTAAAGTTAAACCTGAAGTTGTTTTTGTATTAATCATCCATATTTCCAGATACACGGATTATAATTACGTGCGCACCTTCTTGACCACTTATCACTCATTTTGCACCTCCTCAGAATTGTTGCAGTTGCTCATCGAACGTTTTCAAGTACCTACTCCGCCACAGCTCCAAGTAGCTGGAGCGAATAACACATCTAACTTGGAATCACGGTAAAATCCGCAAGGTTTTATTAATTTGTACTTCAAAATTTGTGGAAATGCATTCAAAATCTGTAAGTAGTTAATCACATTTCCTGCTAAATTCAAATGCATTTGAAATGAAATAAAGGCGTGTTCTCTGAAATACAATATACAGGAAGGTAACTTGGTTGCGTACTTAATTGTTTTAGAGAACTTTTAAATGGTCCTTATGCTACTGTACATTCTCAAGGTCTAAGAACTCAGGTTTCTCCGACACTTTTAAATAGAATTGAACGAAGTTATCAACGATTTCGCAAAGAATACGAGCAGCCAATACAGTGCAGGTATTTTAGTAATAATTTCTTTGTATCTTTAATAACATTGTACTTTGAAACTTCTTTTTAACGATTTTAGAATCAATTGACGAGTCACTAATAAGTACTTGGAACCTCATTAATAAGCATTTGGAATCCATATGTGCTTTTTTAGTCTATTTGCAGAAATTCCCCTCATAATAAATTTTTATATAGGGTACTGAGTGTGATTCGACAATGGGTCAATAACCACTGGTATGATTTCGAACATAATCCGATTTTGTTACAAGACTTATGCTCGTTTTTGGAGGAAACTGATTCTCATGGAAAAGTTATCAATCAATACAAGAAATGGTGCAAGAGTATTAAAGTAACAAATTTCTTGCTTGTAATTCATAGTCCTTTTCATTGCAAATTTTATTTTGCATAATGCCATTATGTTTATGGTTTTATGAACAAAAATATAACTGAATAGCTTCATGAGTTTGTCTTGTTTATATCATTTCATTGATTTTTATCGTTGGTTTTAAAATTATGTCATTCATGTCTTTTTTTTTAAACTTTCATTACAAATTTCGGTTTTTTGCATACTTGTATCGAAAGGAAGAAACGAGCTGACACTATACCGTCGGTGGCACACAGCGCTTCACAAAGCGAGCCTTCTCCATCAACAATCACTTCGTATGGTCCACAGAAACCGAAGGTAAGAATGTATACATTAGTTGTTAGCCGGCTAGATTTTTCCAAAATTTTCGAATCAGCGGAAAACGATAATTTCTCCCTGTTAGACAAATGAAGCTTAGTATATCTTTTTGATCATATTCATATGGTTTTAGAAGTTCGATTTTTGGTAAAGAATACAGTCTCATCAATTTCCAGTCAAAAAAGGACTTTCGATTCATTCCTCGTGATTTAAATGAAATGTCTACCTTTATTTCTCTGTTTTAGTTGTGGTTTCAAGTAATTTTTTTCAAGATTCTGTGGCATATTGCCGAGAAAGGAGCCATCGAAACATACGACCTTCTGTCACTACATCCAATTGAAATCGGTCGACAGATAACTCTGTTACAGTTTGACCTGTATAAAGCTATTAAACCCATTGAACTGGTTGGTTCAGCATGGACAAAAAGGGATAAAGATCTTAGAAGCCCACAGCTGTTGAAGCTTATTGATCATAGTACTATGGTTTGTTAATATTTTTCGTAATCAAAATAATCCTTTGGTACGAAACATCCAAGCGTTTTTCTTCCTAGCAAAATTTTTTTTTGTTCACGTTTTTGTGTTTCTAAAACTTATTAAATGATGTCTTGATAAGTATAATAAGTTTCTGTCGTATGACCGGTTAACTTGTTTTTTTTTTTCCAGTTAACCTACTGGGTTGCTCGCTGTATTGTTGAAACTGCTTCGCTGGATGAGCGGGTCTATATGTTCTCACGAGTGCTGGAAGTAATGTCTGTTTTCGAAGAACTCAACAATTTTACTGGACTTGTTGCTTTGTATTCTGCTCTGAATAGTAGTTCCGTATATCGACTCAAAGCATGTTGGGAGGTATTTTTTCCTCATATAAAACGAAAATGCTTTTTATCGTTCATGTTTTCCTCTATGTTTATCTTTGATCTTTTACTTCTCAAATTCAAAATCTTTATGTTTGGCTCATAATCATCAATTTGAAGAAAATTGATCGCGAAAAACAAGTATGGTATGAAAAATTTAAGAAACTTTGCAATCCGCATTGGAAGGAAATGATTGAACGACTGAAAAGTATCAATCCGCCCTGCGTCCCCTTTTTTGGTCAGTTCTGATAAACATTATTGTACAGGTAGAAGTGTGAATGAAAACTAATTCCAACGAAATATATTGCAAAAAACAATTCCCAAGTTTAAGAATCTCATTTGTCTGCATTAGCACGATTGATTTTCTCTGTAGTTCAAGCAAACCAACTGGGTACAGCCATTTTATTACGATATCTTCTTTAAAAGGAATGCGCAAATTATATTGGATTGTATCATTGTGTTTATCCTATAACTTTAAGGTCATTATCTTTCCAAAATTTTTTTTTACGAAGAAGGAAACAGTACATTTGTGCAAAGCGAAGATCTTACTCATGAACAGGTTTTTTTTTCTTGGTCTATTTATGAAATGGTGCTTTTATAATTATGTGTTGCAAGTTGAATCCATTCTAAGTGGTCACTGAAACTGAATTGTTGAAAGTGGTTTTAAACGTTCAAGACGTTATTGTTGAGTTTGCACATAATGATTACTTTTTCAAACGTGGGCATTTAGATTGATAATAAATTTGTTGCATTTTTATTGGCTTTTATTTGGCTTCGAAAATGAGAAGTACAGTGTATATTATTTTTTTGTTTTGTAGAAGGCTATCATATACGCAACTTTTGATACGTTTCACGGATTATTCATTTTATTTAAATCTGGTCAGAGTTAATACTTACTTTTATTATTCAACTGCAGTTTATCTAGCCGATTTGTGCTCTCTGAAGAGATCCCTTTAAAATTAAAGTTCGAATCCGTTGTGCTTAAAGTTGTGTAACAATTTTGCTGGTAATAAATCTGAAATCCGTTATATTTAAGATTAATGCCGAAGGTAACACATCAGTTGTGGGTGCAACAGGTCGTAAAGTGATGGTGTCATTTGTGAAATGTCGTCGGATAGCATCAATTATCAGTGATATTCAGATGTATCAGAATGAATCGTACGCTTTGGAAGTGGAGCCAAGCGTGAGGGTAAGTAGGTTTATGGAATTTATAAATCCGGTGGTGAATTCTGTGAAGTGGGTCAAGGATACAAATGTTCACTTATTTGCTTTTTTATCATCCATCTAAAACATTGCTCAGATCAATTTTTGTAAATAGTTTGAAACTGATCATTTCTTTCTTTCTTTAAGTTCTGGACTAGAAACACTGATCATTTCTTTATGCATTCATGTTTCTTTTTGAATTCCAGTGTAGGTTGGGAAATGTACAGATATGATAGTTAAAGAATATATAGAAAGTTTTGGTAAGAATTTTTTCGTCATGCGACATGCACTACCTCCTTGCCGTCTTTTTTCTTTTCTCCGCTAGTGTCTGTTTATGTGTAATAGCATTTTCTATTCTGATGACTTCCGGTGAATTTTTTCATATCAGGAAATCTTATTCCGTATTCTTTACTCAAAACATGTTGAGTTTAATATTTGGTCACTTTGACGAAATCCTTCTGGAAAAATCTAAATTATTATTGTTAAGGCTGCAAATGAAAATGAGTCTGCTTATCGCTAAAATACTTTTTGTGTTTTGTTAGAATACAAAAGCAAATTGTCGATTTTACGGTGAGTTTTTCCGGGAGAATTGCAACGGAAGTTAAAGGAAAAAAAGTGCAATCTCATTAGTAACAGGAAGAGGCGGGGAAGAAAAATTTTGTTTATAAAAAACAGCCGGAAATTCATTTTTTTTTTTGAGGAGTAAAAAGAAGACAAAATGTGGATATTCGTTACCACTGTTAGTGGTGTTGTTACTGTTTCTGAAGCATGTTCATCTAAATTGGTGTTAATGTGTGTGAATTCGGAAGCTCTTTCAAATTGTCAGAATTTTTTTGGTTCCTCTCCTCTTTATTTCACTTTCTCGCGTTTTCTTGTTTTCTCCTATGTAAATAGAGTTCTCTGACTTCATTCCACAATCGTTTTCCTCTCTCACTTGTGGTTACCTTTTGACTGCTATTAGATCATTTGTTCGACATGTTCTGCACTTAGTTTTTTGAAGTGGGTTAGGAGCGGTAACTGTCATCCGAAATTCGGTGCTATCCGGAAAATATATGAGCGTAGTGATGCAAAAGACATTTCAGAATGTTTTTTCCTCTTTTTGATCACACTGCTAATATTTGTCAACTACAATGTTCTTGAAGCTAAAGGGATTCTTGAATTCCATGGAATATCCTTAGGATTTCAAATAAGACGCTTTATTTGCATTTATGCAGTTGAAAAATTTGGAGTCTTCCTTAAACAATCAGTTGCTAATTCACATCCAAAAAAATTTACGATATTAGCTAAAAATATCTGGAAATTTGAAAAGTCCTGAGACTTTCAGTATTATGACCTCTCAGACCGTTTATTCTGAGAGAGTTTTGATAGACATAGTGTCTGCTGAAGACGGTCACTGCCGACGTGGATTTGGTCGAACCAGTTGGATCGGTAGCAGCTGTGGTAGGTAGCGCCCTTTGAGACGAGTAACTGCAAACAGTAAAAAATGATTAGTGTCTCTTTGTGTATCCGGAGAAACATTTAGCTGTTTGCTGGCTTTAATTCTTCCTCGCATTTGATCATTTGGCAGCAATTCGTAGACGGCATGGAGAAGGGTTGGCTACGATAAGTTGGGGAAAGAAGATGACGAGATGCAGGGAGGCGATATATTCTAACTTTGTGTAATCAACATATAGGACTTTTGCTGAAGAGAGGCAGATGATTGTGATTAATTTCGGATTTAATAGTTTCTATTGATGGTTTTTTCTCTTTTCTTTTTCTGCAAAGAAAAGAGGTTGAACAAAAATGTTCTCTTTTCGAAGTTTTTTAACCGACAATTTTCTTGTTCGCACAATTTTACCGTTGCTTCCTCATCATTCATTTTCCATCAAAATGATGAATGGGACATGAATTTGCGTTGTTCTTTTTACTGTAAATTTTACCTATTTAAAATTTTTTTGTGAAGATGGAGAGGTCCCATGTTTGGTTGAGATGGGCGATGATACAAGGAAATCGCTGCTAAAATTCAGGATCATTGAAAATTTCAATTGAAAACTACAGTTAATTAACTTCTTCAGTAATCCTGCAGAATTTTTTTGTTCTAAAAGATATTTCATGAAATCTTCAATTTCAGAAATAACGAGAGAATAATTTCTAGAAATAATCCCTTTCAACAGTTTACATTTTTTTTTTTAAATTTAATCTTGGGTAGGCAAGCTCATATTATTAGGTACTCACTTTAGTTGAAAAATTTGCACGTATCTCTAGAATTTGTATAAATTATCTCGAGATTTTTATGCAGTTGTTTGTTAATCCATCGTTTGATATGGTAATGGAAGGAGTTGGTTTGATATGGTAATGGAAGGAAATGGAAGGACCTGTTTGCTATAACAAACTATATATTAATTATTGTAATGCTTAAAATAGTTTAATCTGTCTCTCTTTCAAAATATCTTAGCAAATAAAGTTTGGAGCATTAAAGTGGAATAGATGAATTACTTATGGTCTTATTTTTTTTTTTAACTTATGGTCTTATTTTCGTTTATAGTATATAAGCGAGTTATAAAGATTGCACTCTTTGTTTCAGGTCTTTTCAATCAAAATCAAATACCCAAAAAATAATAGGCTTTTAAAATTGTTTCGCGCAGGGTCCGAAGAATTTACTTATTATTTATAGGGAGGTTTACTGTCAGTGTTTACCTCCATATGCATTTTAACTACTCACCATGGATGTGTAAATGTATTTCGAAGTTAATATATTGATGAAATATTATGTATCTGACAACTAACTTTAAAGTTCAAGTTTCAAAATCCCTCCTTTTTATTCACTTCAATTTTAATTTTTGTTGATTTGAGCTAAATTCTAATTTCAAATTTGTTTGGTTTTAGATAATTAACTTATTGTGTATTTTTCAGTTTTCCTTCTTTCTACTTTAGATGCGTAGTTGTAAACTAGTCTTACCATTATTTTTAATATCTTCCTTTAATAAATAAATCGGTCATTCGCTGTGAGAGATTTGCTAGATCTTTTACTATGGGTATCAAAGTTAATCATATTTTGGCAGCTATTATTAGTGGAATCCGATAGTATCGGGGGAACACATGTAATATCCTATTACGAGCTATAATATTGGTACTGTTTTAGGAGTTGGATGGTTTCTGTCATCCTTAATAGCCTTATCGCAAGGCGTATGTGTGTATATGTATGTGCATATGTCTGTATGTATTGTATTTGTACGTATGTATATGTGTACATATGTATGTATGTATATATATGTATGTGTGTATGTATGTATGTGTGTATGTGTATGCATGTATATATATATATATATATATGTATATGTGTGTATGCATGTATGTATGTATGTATTCATGTATATACATATGTGTGTATGTATGTATGTGTATGTGTCTGAGTGTTAATGTTAGTGCTAGTGCTAGTGTTAGTATATGTGTGGGTATGATTGATCTGTGCGTCCCGTATACAATCCAAGCAATTGGACCTGTTGTCCATCGCTAATCACTTTGTACCTTCACTACCCTCACTCTCATCCTTCTTCCATGCTACAAAAGGAGCCGGAACTCTCCTTTTCCGGCATTTTATCTTCCAATATTTTGTTCGACTTTTTCCTTCTAATGTTTCGAATCGCATATTTTTTGGCTCTTTTCTTGATTACCTTCATATAAGCTATCCATCGATCTAGGAATTATAACATTTCAAATTTTTGCATTTTTGTAGTAATCCTTATTATAAGCTACTTTCGCTTCTCTTGACACTTTGGTACTATTTTCCACCTTTATTCAATGTTGCCCGAATTACTTCCTCCATATGACGTACATTTTTCCTTGCTGTTCAGAAGTTTCTTGTGGAGGCGCTTTGAAGGGTTTGAACCGGATAGTAGCTCTATTATTTGACTATCACTATTTCCAGCAAAAAAATCACAGATGATTTTCGGTTTTGGCGATAAACAAATTTCTCGATTTTTAGGGGATTTCATTTCTGTTCCTGCAAAAAATATTTGAATGTGCTGATGGCAATTCAGCCTAATAACTTCTCATTTTGACTCTTTACTTTCATCTTGAAGTTTTGTATTTATAATTATCCTTCATTGCAATTGTTCAAAAAGGTTTTAACAAGCGATTATTTTGTACTGAGCGTGGGCATTCGCTACCCTTATTTTAGCCTTGAAAACCGGTGTCTTTTGGTGTTTCTCGTAAAAAAGGTGCAACATATCTTGTTTCGAAATTTTTCGAATTTAAAAGTTTAATGTTTCATATATATGTTCATTCGCGCTTTAGCGTTATTTTTTCAACTGTTATGAGTGAAGTAACAGAATCTTAATGTTATTGTATTGTAAAGAAATGGTACTAACTGATTATTGCGAGACGACACCACTTATTGCTGATAAATGCGTGATGAGCAAACGGAAGCGATGGTTTTGTCAAACTAAGGTGAGCAGTATTCAATTTTTCTCCTGGTGATGAGATGAACAGAAGGGATTGTTATGCTCATTGTATTTTGTCAGAGTTATATTTATTGCCTACGCTCCTTATAATGATCTTCATAACATCTTCGCTAACATAACAGTAAAGTATACAGCTAGCAAAACATGATTTTAGGCTTATGCCACTGAATTTTAATAGCATGGATATTGTAAGCATCACTTAAATGCCAGTGTAAGTGTGGTGAATTACAAATCCGCTGCGAGTTAATGCGTTTCCATACTTAATAACAAATAGAAGTGGATAATGACACTATCAAGATAATTCTCTATGCTTTAAATGGAATCAAAGCAGGAAGAAATTTCTATCGGGAACTCTAAAATAGTAGCTTGTTGACTTATAATTTCTGAACTAGAACTAGTAGTGTTGTTTCAAAATTTTTAGTTTTTGATAAACTTCAAAAAAAGGGTTTTTTGTAAATCTTATATGACTGCACTGTTTTTTTCTTAGATTGGTTAGTTATGTTTTATTAAAAGTAATGATAGAAACGATTTTTTTTAAGAAAAAGGACCAGGAAAGAAATTGTGAGATGTTCCCGGCTGGTCTACCATTGCTGTTGAAATACGTTATATCACTTGTTATTCAAATCGCAGCTTTTTTCTGCTCCTTCAGATCATTTTTCAGGACACCTTAGTTCAGCTTTCCATGCATGGATCATGCTACTGTCGTTGTAGAATGAGAAAAGGCAACACTTTTAGTTTGATTTCTTACAATTTGAAATTAAAAGAAGTTATGAAATTACAAAGCTTTTGAAATCACAAAAATTGCTAAATAATGAAATTAAAAGTTTGATAATCATTTCATGAATCGGATCTAGAAAATAGTGATACAAGTGACATTTTTGGCTAAAATTGATTTTAATAATATTATTCAGCATTAATCGCGTGATTTCAACGTTTATCAAGTGATGAGCATTGAATCTTTCCTCTTATTTCATGAACGAACTATGCCTCCTCAAAAACTGCGTTTCCTTTTCTGCCTTTCTTAGTTAACCTGAGCGCTCAGTTGGTGTGGTATCATTGCTTTGTACGGTATTGTTGCTTTTAATTAATATGCAGAACTGTCAAGCACAATTTTCATTCATGTTTCTGGGTTAAACAGCAGGAACTACAGTTTAATTTTAACTTTTTTTTCCACTTCCTCTATGCTGTTGGTTATAGATGGCAGTTATATTGAGTTCATTTGGTTCTAATGGATTATCTAAGCTTCACATGTTTTATTCTGAAACATCATTAAATTTTCAAATTTTTTCGTAACTGACTTGAACGGGTTTATGATTTTCGGTCAGGAGGGCTGGTCAGATCTGTGATCTCTTTATTCTTATAAATAAATTTTTTATTACAATGGAACGTTGATTCAGACGATGATGATTACTACTGTAAATCATGCTTTTTGCCTTTCAAATGATGATGATAATTGAGGAAGTAAATAGATGAAACCGAACTCTTGGACGGATGACCCTGTGACCTTTGTGAAGGTCCTTTCCAAAGTGTGATTGGTCATCTTCGTGTTGATCCGCTAAAGTTACAGCTAAATTGTTTTTGTCAATATATTTGCCTATCCATTTTCCTGAAATAATGCTTACGGAAAGTTATTTTCAATAATTATTTCGCGAGTAACCAATTACTTTGCATTGTGGCTTTAATTATTCATAATCATCTCATAATTTACTTTTACTTGGGATCTTATTTCTTTTGAGGAGAAGCAGAGATTTAGATATTCAGTAGGAATCCTGTCACTGCTTCCTAATGCTAACTGGTGTATATAGAGTTGTCGACTACCTTCACTGCAGTTTGAAATTGAAGCCATCGCTAGACGAAAAAGGACAAGAAAGGATGAGCCAGGTCTCATTGTCTTGTTGTTCTGGTAAATAATTTTTATATAGGTTGTTCTGGTAATGTAGATACTCACTCAGTCGAGCGATTGTCGGGTAAGAAAGTTCTAAGAGTCGCAGAGATCCACGTTATTACCTTTTCTTTTCACCTTCTAACATCTTCTAGAATTGAACTAATGTGGAAATTGAACAAATGTTATTGGTGGTTTTATTAAGAGGATATTAAGCAATCGGAAGAGCACTGCACGTTCAATATTCCTATCAAGAAAACTGAAAGTATAGGCGTCCTAATTTTCCTTCAGCTTGTACATCATTTCGAAAGCTCTTCTTCCAGTCATTTCATTTAATCGGCATCATCACTGACAATGCGACAATCTTTGCTGCAATAATAATTTTTTGTTCGTCAACGTAGTGTGAAAAATACCTAACGAAATCAAGTCATGCGCAAGAATTCTATCTCTCATCGTTTTGTGTACCGAACATACAGTAATCATAGCAATGATCATCCGTAGTGAGTTAACTGTAATATTAAGTAAACCATTCGGTGTTCGAATTTATCATTTCAGTGAGCACTTGAGCCACTGGGGTACATCATGTCGGATTCCATTTATGGTTTCATTATTCCATGGCCTCTGCTATCTGATTCTAAAGCAGCATTTTGAAATTTTAGTCGCTTACTAGACTCTTTGCTTTAGTAAGACTTCAGTTCGGAAGATTTGAGTAGTCATATGTATATGTGCTACTAATCCCTATGCCTGAAGTGTAGTTCATTTTGTGTTTTTTTTCCTCATGCATTGTAGGCACTTTTTTTGTCCTCTTTGAAGGACTATTTCATGCTGATATATGTCTTTTATTCAGAATGCTGATGTATGTCTTTTATTCAGAATTATCTCCAGGCCTGCGGTGTCTGTGGCATTATTAGTGTTGTTCAGTATGGTGACATTCAGACAAATGATAACTTAATTGTGGAACTCAATCACTTGAAGCGATCTAGGCCGAAGTCGAACATCATCCAATCCCATCATCGTAGCAGCATTTGGAGCGCAACCTCATTATTTTTCTACCATTTTTATTAGCTCATTTTCCCTCGTAAAAATGCTAGCCAGCGATTTTTGTTCTGTCGTCTCGCTTTCGAAAATCTTCTAGAATCAGTTACCTAGCTGCCATCTTGCTTATCTGCAGTCTGCATTATCATAGCAGCGTTTCCTCGTTTTTCATTTTCTCTCCTTGCTCATTCTGTCTTGAAGTTTCCATCCGTTTTACAGTGATATTGGTGCTGATTTCAATGAACGACTTCCGGTTAAACAGGCAGATATGTGTTTGTAGTTCTGCGCTTGCTCTTACTCCTAACCAGATTTCCACAGGGTAAATCTTCCGTGCTTCTTTTTATCCAATGTGTTTTCTGGCTATTCCCTTCTTCTTTCACAGCAGTGTTTAATTTTTCGCTTTATTTTGACATATCCCTCTACGATTACTCTTGTATGATGTGGTAAGGTAGCATTCCTCTTGCTTTATTCGACTTTTCTGCCGCTAGCTAAATACTTCCTGACCGCCCACTCATACTTTTGGATTTTTCTTAAGTCATTTTATCATTTTTTTCGACATAATTTTGATGACCCAGACAATAGGTAGTGAATTTAAAATAATTGCTAGAAATTTCATTGATTCAGAATTTGGCGTCCGTAATCTTGATCTTTCCTTGAGAGAAATTTAGACGAGGGAATCAGTTCTGTGAATATGAGGTTTTAGAATTCCCTATCATTATGAAATAAATGTATGATGTCTGTTGTAGTTTTGATCTGAATTAAAAATAGGAACTTGGATTCTCTTTACAATCCAATTTCGTTTTTTCAATGAGCATACAAACTACATTTAATTAGTGGTTTCAAGCCCTTTAATAGAAAACGAATTAGTCCAATTTTTGTCCGGTTACAAGTGGCGTCATCTACCCGAGATATTGTCGCAAACTTTTTTCCCACAAATAATTTCTTTAGTTACTACTATCTCGTGTCTACCACATTACCGTGTCAGATCGGAAGTGATAACGTACTGATTGCAGCATGTTTTCATGTGCTTGATTCTCCTGCTGCTCTCGATCATCTTCTGCAACATCATCTGTTTCTGCATCTTATGATCCGTTAAATTTGTCTTATCCGAAGCTAATTTCATTTCAGTGATTTTTTCTTGTATTTTATTTAGTTTAATTTTATTGAATACACTTTATTGCCAAAAGAACTTTATTACTGTCTTTGTGCAACTTTTCTTCACTTTGCCTTTAGCAGTTTGGTTACTTCGTTTTCTTTTATCTGTGTGCATTGCATCAGTAAACATATTCGAACTTTCTTTTTCTACCGTTGTTCTGATTTATTATTTTCATACGGTTTCAGTTAAACTATATCCATCGATTGCACATCTCATATTTTCATTTAAAAATTGGAAAAGATTCTCGGAAACATTAACTGGAGTCTTTTAATACTAATTTATTGGTTATTATTTCGAAACAGCTATAATTATTTCTATATTTTGAACGGATAAGTTTAATTCAACCAATGGTTAATATTTTTATATGCAGTAAGATAGGATTTCACCGCATATTTATTTGTAATTGCATATTTCGAAATTTCAGCATTTTTTTGAGACAATTAATCCACTAAACGGTTTTGATGGGAAGGAATCGTTGGAAACTTACATGTGGGAACAGTCTTTGAAAGTGGAGCCAAAAGATCCTGATAAAATGGAATTTGTCGTAAGTTTCTTAATGTTGTTTTGCGTGGCTACTACTGCTGTTTAATGTTCGATTAGTTTTTGGCTAACGTGATATTTGAAGATTCGTATATGTGAATCCTCCTCGCTATTCTTATTTTCAGAAGAAATATTGTCGTTTCAGATTTAATTGCACCGGAAGATACCCAGTTTATTACGTCTGAAATAAAAATGAATTGATAGTAAACAAACAATAAATTTTTAGGGTTTGGAAAATCGTTTTTATTATGTTTTCTTTTTGTTATTCCGTCCACTTTATCTAAAAGTAATGCAGTTAAGAGTAGCTTTGAGTTAATATTTTTTAATTTCTCTTTTTACCAATATGCTTTCTTTAGATCAGCTGAGTGGGTAAAATGTAGGAAGGATGCAAAACTAAATCCAAGTCATTCATCTTCATAACCTGTTTCTAAAACTATTTCGAAATAAAACTTTTTAAACTTCGGAAAAAGTCGCAATCCGGCCGTTCATGTTTTTGCAAGTCTTATTTAGATCTTAGAAATAATAATGAATAGTTGCTAGTAAAAAAATTAAACATTCGAGTTGAGGTTTAGGAAAACACTTTTTTGTCGATAAATTTCAGTTTTTACATCAGTTTCTGGAAAATATATAAATTGCAGTTATATTTCTCATGTTGTCTGTAGCAAGTTGTAAATAAATTCAAAAGTTTGTTGTCTCTAGGAAAAATTAAGAGTCTTATTTGTTCGCCCCTGTAATACTGGATGTTAAATTTTCTGAGAATTGTTTTTGACGAAGTCTGAAATAGTTATTCTCTACCATGAAGTGAACTCATGATGAGAGGATCTAAAATAACTTTACAGGTGAATTGATATTTCATTGCTTATTTGCCAGTTTCATGTTAATTATTGTTCATGACAGATTTTTTATTGTAATAGTTGTCGTTTTCAGAAACCGTCCAGACCACTTCACGTGCTGAAATCACCAGGCATCAAGCCACCTAAAGGGATTTCGTCAGCACCATCAACTAGTGGTCCATCCAACCATTACTCAGGACATCGTGGTAGTGGGCGAGGGTTCTCGGCATTTAACAATTACAGTTCCAGTGTATCCCACTCATCGGATATGTCAGTTTTCAGTATCATAGTTTTTCACAATTACATTGTTCTGTTATATTACATCTCCAAAGAATTGTAAATATCAACTGATCCAATATCAGGTGAACGTGTGTTAGAAACATTTATTTTTGAGGTTTCTGATAGGATCCAATGATTATTTGGAAATAACTCACGGGTTTATTTCTTTAAAAATATCGCCTATTGGTTTTAGTTCCGGTGCTTGATTTTTATGTCTTCTTGCTTTAAGTCAATTAATGAACACTGCCAGCAGAGATTGATATGAATTAGATGCTTTACCGTATGGGAACGTAATATGCTGCTCTGTGCTTGCATGTGAAGTGATTTTAGGACTGGATTACTTGCTCTTTGTTCTGAGGGACGAAAATAAAAAATAGAAGCCAGTGTTCACGACGTTAAAAGCTCATTATTTAGTAACTAACCCCGATTAGCGAATATTAGCTTATATTTAAGACCACTTAAACCATGTTGAATCTCCGAATTGATTCCACCTTTATTTCGTGAAATGAACAGTGTGATTTTAAAACTGTATCACTTTTGTTTAAGTAGAAATGTGAGCACTATAGATTGTTCTATTCAGATGCTGGTTCAAAGTTATATGCTCTCTTTTTCTCAGAAATGAAAAAGTGATTGAATAGTAATTCAATACTTATTTAAAAAATGCAATTGTTGCTACCAGTGCTGAAGAAAAGCAATTATTTGAATTGGAAAATTATTTGACTACTTTTCCTTGTGCTGCATCGATATCATTTTGAAATTTATCATTTCCGATAATAATTCCATACCTTACTTTTGCTTATACGATCCTTTAGGTCACGACCCAACTTATTACCAAATTTCGAGGACCGGAATCCTTATCTTGGGATGGTTGAAATCACTCCAGGTTAGTTCAGATCCCTGCGTTTACTATCTGCTTAGTGTGTAGCAAAACATGATTTATTTACTGCTATTTTAAAAATGAATTGATCACAGCTTTTTGAGATGAATTTCTGAAATTGACGGATTCAAGTTGAGGTCTGTAGCTTCAAATATTTAAGTATCCGTATGTTTAGGTCAACAACCGCGATATCTTGGTGATGCAAAGCGTGGTGCTCAGTCAACAATTACTTCGCCAATAGAACCACGTATTCCGCCAATAGTGTCGAAGGCTAGGCATCGAAACGACAAGGCATCTTCGACACCACCAAGTCCCCGTTCATCGCAAAATGGACATTTCACTGCTCCATCACCACCTCCTCTCTATCCACGAAAATTGTCGACCCAAGAACAATTGGCTCCACTACCATCTCTAAAATTTTCAGTTCATGCAATTCCAGATGTGAATGGTCCTGTTCCGCCTCACTCTGCTCCATTCTGCACTGCTCGACCAGGTTGGCTCATTTAAATGAGTGTAGTTATCCTTTTGTTTTTGATACGGACACTCCACATTGCATTAGTAACTTCCACTAAGGTGTGTTGATTTTAGAATTCTTCAAATACATTTTGACAGCATATTAATGATTGGAAGGACAGAGATTATCTAATACAATACAATAAATTGGTGCCAAAATTTTGACACTCTCTGAATTGTTAAAAAATTTTCCATTTATTTATCCTAATTCATTGCTATGATATTTCGAAACGTTCAGACTCATTCGTTTTTCCACCATATGGAGGAAATGCAATATGTTCCCGAACAACAGCACCTTTGGAAAATACCTCCACTGCAGTACAAACAGCAGGCATGATTCCAACAGTACCACCAAGGAAAAAAGTGGAGCCACTACCATCACCACTGTCTGATGATGCTGTGCGCGTCGTCTGGAATAAGTTAGAGTTGAATTTCTCAAACTTCTACAACCCAAATTTCAAATTTATGGAAATCACAATGTAAATTTTCGCTATTAGTATTTGTTGAGGTCATGTTAGCTGATTCAGGATTTTTAGAGAAGCAAGGTCAGCTGTGTCCGATGCAAGCGGTATAATATCACTATTCTCATCATCGCAAAATTCAAGTCAGAATAATGCTGCCACAGCGCCAAGGTTATATCCACGACGAGCCTGCCCAGTTGAGCCACCTCCAAGGCCGCCAAAACTGTAAGTTGTTTTTTTGTGTTGTCTTGACAATTATAGTGCTATGATGATCGTTGTTTGCTATATAAGCTGTTTTCATATTTGA